CCCCCAAAGCCCCAGTAGATAGTTGTATGTCACAGCTGCACATCCTTCTAGTTGCTGTATGTGGGACGCGGCCTCAGCATGGCCGGAAAAGCAGTGCGTCGGTGCGCGCCCGGGATCCGAACCCCGGGCCGCCAGCAGCGGAGTGCGCGCAGTTAACCGCTAAGCCACGGGATCGGCCCTCTTCTCTGCTTTTAAACTCCAGCAAATGTGTTGTTGGTAGGGAGTCGCTTCCGGGAGCAGTGTGTAGGGATTCTCCTTAGTCTCTAAATCTGAGCAGCCAACGTTCTCTCAGGGGTGGTAAAATCCATCCACGTGAGGCTGTCTCACAATTACATCACCTTTATTTTATTTTTGAATTTAATTAAATTAAATTAATTAATTAATTTATTATTTTTTGTGTGAGGAAGATCAGCCCTGAGCTAACATCCATGCCAATCCTCCTCTTTTTGCTGAGGAAGACTGGCCGTGAGCTAGCATCTGTGCCTATCTTCCTCCGCTTTATGTGGACTCCGCCACAGCATGGCCTGACAAGCGGTGTGTTGGTGCGCGCCGGGATCCGAACCCGGGCCACCCGCAGCGGAGTGCGCACACTTAACTACTACGCCATGGGGCCGGCCTATTTTTGAATTTTAAATGGATATACTATTTGAAGCAAGCTGTTTTAGATTTTTTTTTTGCTGCTTGCTTTTCCCACAACCGTTTCGAAGGCCAGGAGGAAGTGTTTCCCGGTCTCTGGGTGCTTGCTCGGTGCTTGTTTTAAGGACCAAAGCTTCTCCCCAGTCATTTCTAGCAGCGAGGCTTCTGAGCCCTTGATCTTTGTTTGAAACAGAATGCTTCGTGCTATCGAGCTGTTTTTTCTTGTCATTTCTGAACATTTTGTGTACATTCAGCAACTGCTTCAAATGAAATGAAGTTTTGGCCAGTTTCAGTTACTCAAATTTGCTTTTCCCGTTTTCATATTGTGAGGAATTTCCTCTTGCTATAATAAAAATTAGCAGTCTGCACTCACTATGTGAAGGCACTGGTCTAAGTTGCTTTTATTTATTTTTTAACAGCTTTAATACAATTCACCCATTAAAATGCAGAGTGGTTTTTACTACATTCCCAGAGTTGTGCACCCATCACCACAGTCAATCTTAGGACATTTTCATCACCCTGACAAGAAGCCCTGTATCCATTAGCAGTCACTCTCCATTTCCCCTGGCAACCACTCATCTGTCTCTGTAGATTTGCCTATTCTGGACATTTCATATAAACGGAATCATACAACATGTGGTCTTTTGTGACTGACTTCTTGCACTTAACATGATGTTTTTAAGGTTCATCCATATTGTAGCATGGATCAGTACTTCATTTTTTTGTTGTTGTTGCTGAAGGATATTCTACTGTATGGATATACCACTTTTGGTGTACCCATTCATCAGTTGATGGACATTTGAGTTGTTTCTAATTTTTGGCTGTTATGAGTAATGATGCTATGAATATTCATGTACAAGTTTTTATATGGACATATGTGTTCAGTTCTCTTATGTGTGTGCCTAGGAATTGGAATTGCTGAGTCATGTGGTAGCTAAATGTTTAACTTTTTGAGGAAGTGCCAGATTGTTTTCCAAAATGGTTGTGCTATTTTACATTCTCGTCAGCAGTGTGTGAGAGTTCCAATTTCTCTACATCCTCGCCACTACTTGTTATTATCTTTTTGATTATAGCTCTCCTAGTGACTGTGAAGTGGTATCTCATTGTAGTTTTGATTTGCATTTTCCTTATAGCTAATGATATTGAGTGTCTTTTCATTGAGCTTATTGGCCATTCATATATTTTCTTTGGAAAAATGTCTATTCAGATCCTTTATCCATTTTTTAACTCAGTTATTTGTCTTTTTGTTATTGAGCTATTGTTCTTTTTATAGTCTAGGTACAAGTCCCTTATTAGATACATGATTTTCAAAAATTTTCTCCTAGGGCCGGCCCCTGGCTTAGCGGTTAAGTGCACATACTCCGCTACTGGCGGCCTGGGTTCAGATCCCGGGCGCGCACCGAGGCACCGCTTCTCCGGACATGCTGAGGCCAAGTCCCACATACAGCAACTAGAAGGATGTGCAACTATGACATACAACTATCTACTGGGGCTTTGGGGAAAAAAAAGGAGGAGGATATAGAGATGTTAGCTCAGGGCTGATCTTCCTCAAAAAAAAAAAAAAATTTTCTCCTAGTCTGTGTATTGTCTTACTTACTTGATGGTGTCCTTTGAAGCATAGAAGTTTTAAATTTTGATGAAGTCCAGTTTATCTGTGTTTTCTTTGTTGCTTGTGCTTTTGGTGTCATAACTAAGATCTAAGGTGTTTTCTATAAACCTTACGTAGAAAGCGATACATATTAATCCTTACAACAGTTCTAGGAAATAGGTACTGTTGTTATCCCTGGTCTATAGATGAGGAAACCGAGATGCAGAAAAATCCATTGACTTGATCAAGGTCACAGCTAGTTAGTGGTGATGTGGGAATTAGAACTCACAATTTTGTCTCCAGCATCTATTCTCTTAACCACCATACTCTGTTCCTTTCTGTAGGAATCATTTATTAACAAGTCTTTACTTATTTGATTTCTTACAGGTTTTTCCTCACTGGGGACGTCATCTCTTCATTTACTTTGCAGAGCTTAGTGTGGGTTTATTTTAGGTCTGATGTGGGCAGAAGCATGGCTGTCAGTTAATTTCTGCATTACTTACCCTCCAGTGATGATTGTTGCTAATTGACCTAACAAAGTTGTACGGAAGGCTTTTCTGATCACTACACTAGAAGTAGAATCGTGACTACAGAATGTTCCAAGAAAGTGATTGATTTCGTTTTACTAACCAATGAAATAAAAACTCCTGTGTTGAAATTGATTGTAAGTCTTCCAGAATAGGGTCATTGTCTTCCTTCTGTTTCATTGTGTTTGGTCGTAGTGTCTAGAAAATGCCTTATTGTCCAGCAGATTAGTTAGAACATGGTGCTCATGAACCATTGTCTGTAGTGACAGAATTTTGACAGTAGTATCTGTTTTTCGTTTCACGAGGGAAAGGATAATATAGAAATACCTCTCAGATCTATCTTAACAGCTTGGAATTTTGAGAAGAGTTCCACAAACTATACAAGGTATTTTCACTAATTTTAGATCTATCTTAGACACATTAGGGTTACATAGCAGAGTAAATTCATTAACTAAATTTGACAAGAGAAGTGT